AATCAGAGTTAACATTTTAGGTTGAGTGACCCTTCCTCAGAACTGTTAACTCTGATTTCTCTCCACAGATGCTGCCAGACCTGTTGAACTTTTCCAGCAATTTGTTTTTGTTTGTGATTTACAGCATCCACAGTTTTTTTCACGTTTTAACATTAAATCATCATCTGACAGCAACTTCCTCAATTTGACTCAGGTTTCTAGAGAATCACCAAGCAGAAGCCAGGTATTTCCTCAAAAGGAAGGGGGAGAGAGGAAGATCAAAAGGTAAGTCTGCAGGAATGCCACTGCAGGCTTCCTTACATGTCTTCTTCTGGGTTTCCTGATCAGTGGGCTTAGCAAAAAAAAATCGACCGCCACAAATAATATTCTGCAGCCTAGTTAGAAAAGTAACAGTGGTTCTGGGCTTGCTGGGGAGCCACACCCCAAATCCAATCACATCTAGCTGTGGCTCCCCAGGAAGTCATAGATGCAGTGGAGCAGAGAACACCACAAAAGAGTCCCCTAACTCCCTCAAAAGCATTCCCTAGGCACAATGAAAAATCTTCTTCCTGGCAACTCTTCCAATACACTGGCACACATCTGTGCAAGTATACATTGAAAGGCATCTGCAGTATTGTGTACTGATCTGAAACACCAAACCTCAGGGGGCTTGGAGGGAGAGCTGCACAGATTCAAAAGAACAATAACCACATTTAATTTATGAGGACAATCTGCATAGACTAAACTTGTATTCCTTTGAGTGTAGAAGATAAAGGTCTGGCCTGAAGGAGTTTATAAGGTCAGTCGGCAGAACCTACTTCCTCTGTGGGGTGAGGCCTGACTAAGAAGACACACCTTAAAATGAGAACCAGGCTATTCACAGGCAATGTCAAGAAGCACATCATCCTACAAAGGGTAATGGAATCTGGAATTCTGTCTCCTCAAAAGACAGTGGAGATTTTTTAATTGAAAATTTCAAAGCTGAGGTCAATAGACGTTTGTGAGATAAGTATATGAAGGGAAAAAGAGCAATGGTGGGCCCAAGGTGCAAATCAGCCAGGACCTAAATGAATGGTGGAACAGACTTGAGGGAATAAATAGACTCCTCCTATTCCTATCTTCTAAAAATGACAAATACAATATATGGTAAAGGAGTAATTAAAGGCTTCGGTAATAAATTTGGGACATGAATGATGACGAAACAAATGGAACAATTTATAACATGCAAAATGTTTCTAGTCTGCGGGTAACAGTCTGGTAACAAAATCAAATGCTACTGGCTGAAGCGGTACAATTTGAGAAGAGGATTTAACAATCGTCATTGAAAGAGTGCACATTGTGAAGAAAATAAATTGAAAGAGACAGACCGAAACATGTCAATACAATATTTTCCGAACCTGAGTGTAATGGATGGTAAAGATGGCGTGGGATCGGCTGCTGGCATCATGGATGTGGGTAGCAGCAGTGATTCTGAAACAGAAACATGCAACAAATGGATGAAAAGGATCTTAATGTAAAGCAAAAGTAACATTACATATCAAATTTTGTTCTCTACACCTTAGATTATTTAACTCAAAGTCTAAAGTCCATTTTGCAGCCTCACACAATACAGGAGGCCCTTTGGCCCATTATGCTTATGTCACCTCTTTCAAAACCCTATCCAATTAGTTATGTTTCTCTAATATGTGTTCAGGGGCCTACAATTTATTTTGTTTTAATGCATTCCAATTCCTTTTGAAAGTTACAATTGAATTTAAAACATGGGACTTCAAAACAAAGCAATCTTTGGATTACTGCCAGTGCTACGGGGGTCAATGTGTGGTTTGAAGCATGGTACAGGTAGGAGGGCTTCAGGTTCTTAGGGCATTGGGATCAGTTCTCATGCATAAAGCACTTATTTAAAGGAACAGACTGCCCCTCAACAGAACTGGAACTAATGCCTTTCTGTGGATTGGGAAAATTTAAAACTAAATTCCTAAAGGGATGGGCAGAATCATACAAATGTAAAAAAGAAGAATAAGGTGCATATTTAAGAATACCAGGCATCAGATAGGCTCAGTGGAAGAGAGAAGCCAATAAAGTCTAAATTAGGGTTACTGTGCATTTGTGTGAATGCATGAAGTAGTATAAATAAGATTGGTGAATAACTACCAGTGCAACCACTATCTCTAGCTACTTCCTTTAATATTCTAGGATGCATCCCATCAGGCCCAGGGGACTTACCAGTCATTGATCACATTAGTTTCCCCAGTGGTTCACTCTGGTGATATTTACCGTATTTATTTTTTCTCCTTCTTTTGCCACTTGAAAATTTAGTATTTTTGGAGTATTATTACCACGTTGTATGAATTTTCTTCAATTTGATGCTATCTAATTTGTTAGCCATAATCTCCCCTTTACAAAGCCATGCTCACTATCCTTGATTACTTCTTGCCTCTCCAAGTGGAGATTAATTCTGTCCCTCAGAATTTTTCTTCTCAGTTTCCCTTTCCTGGTTTATCCTTACCATCCTTCTCGATTAATAGTACCACGTAAGGTGTTTTCCAGTCCTCTTGCACCACTTCTGTGGCCACAGAGGATTTGAAAATTAATGTCAGAGCACCTGCAATCTTGTCCCTTGCCTTCCACAACCGCCTGGGATAAATCTCATTTGGGCCTGGGATTTATCCATTTCCAAGCTCACTAAAACCTTCTCTCTCTCAATGCTAATTTATTCAAGAATATCACAGTCCAACTCCCTACTCTTATATCATCCTTCTCTACAGTGAATACAGATGCAAAATACTCACTTGAAACCTCAGCTACGCATTTTCTATCCCGCTAGAGCTTCTATTGTTTTGGGTCTTTGGTATCCACCATAAGCTTCCTATTTTTGCCCAGTATTTAAGCGTATACATTCACAGACATTCAGGGCTCTCTGGAGTTGTTAGCCCTGTACATTCATTTTTACCTTGTTGAACGTCTCCCACTGCTCTGGTGTGGATTTTCCTGCAAGCAGCTACTTCCAGACCCTTTTGGTCAGATCTTGCCTTACACCATTAAAATTGCCTGTTCCCCAAATTCACAACATTTATTTCCGGTCCATATTTGTCCTTATCCATAAGTACCTTAAATCTTATGGAATATTGGTCACTATTACCTTAATGGTCACCCACCTGTCACGTCTATCACTTGGACCAGTTTTGTTCCTGAAAATTAGTTGCAGCGCTGCCCCTTCTCTTGCAGGGCTTTCTGTGTGCTGGCTTAAAAAGCTCTCCTGTACATATTTTAAGAATTCTATCCCCTCTAAGCCTTTCAAACTTTGTCTCTCCGAGTTAATATTGGAGAAGTCGAAATCCTTTACTGTTACGACACTATTATTTTTCCACCTCTGAGATTTGCCTTTATATCTGTCTATCTTTCCCTCGAGGGTCAATAGGTCCCTCCAGCAAAGCGACTGCCCCCTTTTTTGTTTTGAAGTTCTACCCATATGGTATCATTTGAAGACCATTCTAAGACATCATATTACTGACAGCAGTAATTGACTGCTCGATCAATATAGCAACGCTGCCTCCTCTTGTACACTCTTCTCAATTTCGCTTAAAAATTCCACATCCTGGAATACTGAGCTGACATTCTGAGCCTCCTATGATAGCTATGATATCACATTCTCATGCGTTAATCAACAACTCCTATTCATCAGCCTTACTTGCAAGACTCCTCACATTAAAATAAATGTGATTCAGCCTTGCCATGCTCTCTCATACCTTAACAGTTTAGTTCTGCCTTCTTGACTGACTTGGCTCCTCCATACTTGTGTGCGCATCACCGCCTGCTATAACTCCATTTGAGTTATATCCCAAAACCCTACCAAATTAGTTTAATCCTCCACCAACCATACTAGCAAACCTCCCCACAAACATGTTGGACTTGCTGTTGTTCAGGTGCAACCGGTAGCACGTGTACAGGTCCCATCTTACACAGAAATAAACCCAGTGATCAAGGAATCTAAAATCATCCCTCCTGCCCCATTCTTCAGCTACATATTCATCTGTTCTACCACCTGTTCCTCTGCTGACTGGCACGTGGCACCCAGAGTAATCAGAGGTTATAACTTTTGAGGTTCTACTTTTTAAACTGCTACCCAGCTCCCTCAAGTCTTGTTGTAGGAACTCATCTCTTTCTCCCTATGTCATTGTGAGCCACTATCTCTGACTGTTCACCCTCTGCCTTCAGAATGCCCTGTAGCCATTCAGTGACATCCTTGACCTTGCTCCCAGAGAGGCAAAACACCATCCTGGAATCACATTTACAGCAACAGAAATGCCTGCTTTAACCCTCACCACTAAATTTCCTTTCACTATTCTTCTAGAGAGAGAGAGAGCGAGAAAGAGCAAGAAAGAGTGAGAGAAAGACAGAGTGAGAGACAGAGAGAGAGAAAGAGAGAGACACAGAGTCATACAGCATAGAAATAGACTCTTCAGTCCTCCATGTCTATGCTGACCAGCAAACACCAAACTACACTAGTTTCACTTACCTGCACTTGGTCCATAGCCTGTGCCCTGGCAATTTAAGTGCTTATCCAGATGTTTCTCTTTCTACTCTCCACCTTGTACAGCTGGGGTCTGGCTGTGCTCCCAAAGGAACAGTCACTGTCTTTGCTTTCCAACACAGAAAAATCTGTTCTTGAGTGAGTGGAGCCCACGGCTTTCCTAATACCCGCCTGCCTCCCTTCTTCTAATTGACAGTCACCCATTCCCCCTCTGACTGCACTTCCTTTAGCTAGAGGGTGACCACATCTAAAAACATACCATCCATGTGACCCTTGTAGATGCACTGCTGTGCCTCCAGCTGATGCTCAAGCTCTGAAACTCAGTGTTCAAATCAGTCAAACTGGTGGCATTTCCTGCAGATGCGGTCATACAGGCAGCCAGAGCATCTAAGATTTCCCACATACTGCGGGTCATGCAACACATGGGACTGAGTTCCCCTGCTACAGCTAGTATTAATGTTAAACTTATTCCCCTTACATTAACTTTATCTCTTCTCCTTACCATTCTTTGGCTTTCTTATATTTACTCCGAGATCATGTATTAAACCTGTCTCACTATACACGTTCAGATCCAAAATAGCCTGATTCCTAGATGGATCCACAACTATAGTTCTACGAAACTGTTCTGAATACCAAAGCAAGATATTTGTTAAGGACCTCACCCACTTCCTCTAGTTCCACACACAAATTCCCTCCTTTGTCTTTGACTGGACTTGCTCTTTCCCTAGCTACTCTCTTGCTCATTATACATGTATAAAACGTCTTGGGATTTTCTTTGGAGCTGTTTGCCAAGGACATTTCATGGCTCCTTTTAAATTCTTGCTTTCTTTATATTCTTCAAGGGATCTTTAGTTTCTCAATGTTCAATTTATGTATGGCTCCTTTTTTCTTTTTGACTAAGCTCACAATTTCTTTGGTCATCCAAGGTTCCTGAATCCTTTTCCTTCATTTTCACAGGAACATTCTAGCCCTGAACTCAACTGGCCTGTGAAAGATTCAGCCTCAAACAGCGAGTCCCAATCTACACTCATGAATTCCTTCTTGATATTGTCATGTTTAGCCTTCCCCCCCCATTTAGTACTTTCACCAAGGAAATGCTTCAAGATACCATCCTGGAAGCACCTCACAAATTCTCTCCCATAAAGTCCAGTTATTTTTTATATTTTTCCATAGTCTGTCAACATATCTGTCTCTCCATCTTCTGTTGGATATTAGGAGGCCTGTAGTACAACCTCAGTGATTGCACCTTTCCTACTCCTGAGCTCTATCCATATGGCCATGCTGGATGAGCCCTCCAAGGTGTCTTCCCTTAGTACAGCTGTGATATTCTCCATAATCAGTAACACAACTCCCCCACCTCTTTTACGTCACTCTCTATCAAGCCTGAAACATGTAAATCCCAGAACATTAAGCTGCCAGTCTTGTTGCTCTCAACCAGGTCTCTATAATAGCTGCAACATAATAGTCATATGTACTAATCCAAGCTCTAAGTTCATCTGCCTTACCTGTCATACCGCTCGCATTAAAACAAATGTGCCTCAGACTGCCAGTCCTGCCATATTCAGTAACTTTTCCCTGCCTGTTCTTCCTCTTGGTCTTACTGGCCTTAATGTCTAACTCCTCCTCAGTCATTTCACTGCTCTAGTTCCTAACCCCTGTCATACTAGCTTAAACGAACCCAAGTGGCACTGGCATACGCCCCTGCCAGGATAGTAATGGTCCTTCAGTTTAGGTGCAACCTGTCCTTCTTGCACAGACTTCACCTGCCCTGGGAGTCTTCTCAATGATCCACATATCTGAAGCCCTCCCTCCAACATCAGCTCTTTAGCCATGTGGCACATGGAGTAAATCCAAGATTAGAACCCTAGAGGTCCTGCTTTTCAACTTCCTAACTCCCTGAACTCCCTTTGCAGGACCTTGTAACTCTTCTGGCCTGTCA